CATTCACACCCAATGTAGAATCTTTTACAAATGAAAAAGTGCTTCTGATATATGCCACAGTCTTACAGGGGATGGGAAAGGAAAGATTATGTTGTACCTTATGCTGTCAAATTACTATCTTTAACAGTAGACATTTAATCAGTTTTCTTGGCATTCATGTGCTAAAAGAACACACAATATTGGTAATATTTGATACACTGTGCTCATTTAATTGAAATTCTTTCACAACAAAAATATATTCACATGTTTTTAAACAGAGATACTCTGTATTTTCAGAAATAACTGGTAAAAATTAAGTAATTTGTAGAATAAGCTTTGAACAGTACTGCTGATTTTAATTCATCTGTGTCATCTTTATGAAAGTAAGCATTACTTCTGAGTAGCTAGGTCATTTCCATCTATAAAAAGCATAGAAATCACAGTTTAGTCTGGCCATATTTCCCAATCCCTTCAATCTATTTAGCTTAACAGATGTACAGATGCACACAGATGAAAACAAATCAGTCCTTTTCCAGCTTGCTGTTTAAGAAAATAATCAGGGCAGCAAGCTTGTGGCACTATTCCTATCTTCTCCTGTAACTGAAATTACTGAAAAGCATGTATGAGGATAAAAAGTACATTAATTTATAAGAATCATAGAATGGCTTGGATTTGAAAGGACCTCAAGGATCATCACATTCCAACCCCCCTGCCACAGGCAAGGTTGCCAGCTGCTAGATCAGACTGCCCAGGGCCCCATGCAGCCTGGCCTCCATAGACAGAGCATCCACAGCCTCCCTGGGCAACCCGTTCCAGCACCTCACCACTCTCAGTAAAATACTTCTCCTGATGGATTGCCTAATTTCCAGCTTATCTTATTCCCCCCAAGCACTCATGTAAAAGAAGAGACTTATCAACTCAGAGCATTATACTGCTTTGCAATGGCTTCTGTTAAAATTAATTGTTCACCCAAACTGCAGGTCTGTTAGCTGCCAAGTTTGGGAGCACGTGCTGACAGCATCCTTCAGTGGGATGAGATGAGATTCAGTTGAGTACAGTTTTCTTTCTTCCTTTTCCCTTATTTCCTACACTCCTGCCTCTGCTGGAAGAGAAAAGAACCAAAAGGAAGGAAAGAGTGTGCTCTGTGCATCAGGGTAGCTGAACTGTGAGGTTAATTGCAGACTACATCACTATAGTCTAAATGCAATCAAGAGGAGATATTTCTAAACATCAGGTTAGCAGCAGCTAACTAATTATACGCATTTCTGCAATTTCATCATATTTTTCTAAGTCCTGATGATAGGATTTCAAAAAAGAAAAAAACAAAACAAAAACACACAATGGTGCTCACTGGCTTGATAAGCAGCCACCTGTACTTCCAGATGTACTGATCCTCAGGCTTTTATGCCTTTCAAGTCAGTATTCTGCAAACCAGTCACTCAGACCAGCAATCAGGTAACAGTCTCAAACAGTAAGCATGGTTCACTCAGGAATTTCATTGGGATTTGGACCCTACAGGATTTTCCTTGTAGGAACTTGTCATAGCATGTTTGCTCTGACACACGGCTTCAAAATCAGAGTAATATATATTACTTGATGCAAGGCATGAAGGATAAGATTTTAAAAAAGAAGAAAAAGAAAAATATTCTTTACATAGGAGTTCAACTGCATCTTTGAAGTTTCCCCTTCATGAGTAAATCCCGCTACTGAAAAGAAAACAATTATTTAAACAGATATATTTGTCACATGTTTGGTGGCTTCTCCTTACAAACCTCATCCTGTCTGAAAGATTATTGAGATTGTCAGTTTCTTTTGAGCCTAGACTTACCAACTTTATGTTGCATTCCTCCCAAGCATTGCTATCCCAATACACACAGTATTCAAGCGTTTTCCCTATAGCTTTGAAGAAGCACATGCATGTTACACCAGTACCATTGTTTTACCTTTAAATCTTTTCTTTTTCTTAAAAAACAACAACAAAGAAATACCCCCCCAAAAAAACCATCTTTACTACTTTCATCTAATAATTAGCTTTTGAATGGGCAGGCAACAATACAAAGCAAAGCTCATTAGTCATTGACAGTACCTACTTTATCCTTCATCAGAATGTTTTGTTTCTTCTGCAGCTGTATTCTGCACAAAGAGACATTCATGAAACATTAAACAAATATAGATGTTTTGCTCTTATTCCTGTTTTTCACATCTTCAAAACAAGCAAAAAATGTTGGAGTAAAAATACCATCTTTAACTGCTTTCTTACAAAAAAGAAACTGTATTTTGAACGAAAATGTAAGGTATCTGAAATGGAAAGCACTATTAGATGCTATTAAAATGAATATTTTCCATTTTGGACAGTTTTTATGATATTGCTTACTTGCTTTTTCTTATTGTGACTCCCATTGTGTTAGTATACAAACAGACTGAAACTGGAAGACACCAGCAATAATAGTTGAAAACGCAACGGTATGCAAGTTGAAACTTTTTCATACAGACTCAAATGTTCGTATTTCTAGAGCAAAAAATTAAAAGTACCTAAAGCTGTGGGGGGAACACGGGGAAAAGTGGAAAAATTATTGATTTGATCAGAAACAGCAGTGATTCAGCCTTGCCAAAAAAAAAAAATACTTATTTCAAATTTCTTATCCATACAATAAATCCTTAAACCTGTAGGCTAAGATTTCTAACCTCTGGAGCAATCACTTAAAAAAAAAAAAGAAATCACTAAAAAAAAATTGAAATAAGGTTGGGATTACTGCTTAGAGGATGTACTGAAGTAAGTGAAACTCATGTGCATCAAAAATTAACTACATATATCCAGCTGTTCAAAACAGATACAGATCTGCCTTTTGCTATAGGTTTGTATAGTATCTTGCATAATGAATCCTACACAACACAGGCTCAGATTTTGCACATATGCTTAGACACTTTCTACATATGACTTATTTCATTTGAAGCTATCAAGCTGAAGTAAACATGCATCAGTTTATATTCTGTATAGTAATTAATAAATAGATTTTAATTATTGTGAGAAGTCATGTTGAAGAGTCAGAATTAAACTGAACACCCAGCTTGAAACCTGGAAAGCATTGACTATGTTAAGTATATTAAAATACCACATTACAAATACAAATAGCACAATTAACACATAATTCAGGTGGTAGAAACCCAGCAGAACTCAGTAGCAACTTACTGATGCCTGGGTGCCAAACTGCTCCTGAAGAGCTGTTGTTACTTGGAGGATAACAATGGAAACCACAAGAAGAGCTCTCAGAGAAATGTTTCTTTTAAAGAATTATTGCTCTTATGTGGTTTTGCTGCAAGCAAGCATGTAGATAATGATAATAATACTAATTTAAGTAACTAATAAATTGTTTCTAAAGAGTAAGCAACCTGTACACACCCTTTCTAGGCAAAAAAAAAAAACAAAAACACACACAAAAAAAACACAGCATCACAGGAGTTGGAACCTGTGGGACCTTTGAAATCACCTAGTCCAACCCCCTGCTGAAGTCTTTTCCCTGCACTATGTTGCACAGTAAAGTATCCAGGCAAGTTTTGAATACCCCCAGAGAAGGAGACTCCACAACCTCTCCAGACAGCTTATTCCAGTACTCTGTCACTCAAGAAGAAAAATGTTTTATCCTCACGTTCTTATGAAGCTTCCTGTATTCCAGTTTGTGCCCCTTGTCCTGTTGCTGGGCACTGCTGAAAAGAGGCTGGGTCCAAACAATTGGCTCCTGCCCTGCAGTTATTTGTAGGCACTGATAAGATCTACTCTCATTCTTCTCCAGGCTGAAGCATGCCAGGTATCTCAGCCTTTCCTCACGAAAGGAGATGCTACAGGCCCTGAATAATCTTTGTGGCCCTCCAGTGGGTTCTCTTGAAGTCCCCTGTCTGTCTTGATGTGAGGAGCCCAGAACTAGACACAGTACTCCAGATGTGGCCTCACCAAGGCAGAGTAGATAGGGAGGAGAACCTCTCTTGACCTGTGTTCACTCCTTTTTAATGCACCCCAGAATACCATTAGCCTTCTTGGCCACAGAGGCACACTGCAGGCTCATGGCCAACTTATCCACCATGGCATTCCAGATCCTTCTCTGCAGAGCTCCTTCACAGCAGATTAGCTCCTAACCTGCACTGCTTCACACAGTTATTCCTCCCCAGGTGAATGACTCTACTCTTGCCCTTGTTGACATCATAAGGTCCCTCACCACCCAACTCTCCATCTGTCCAGGTCTTGCTGAACAGCAGCACAGCCTTTTGGAGTGTCAGCCACTTCTCTCAGCTCTGTATCATCAGCAAAATGCTAAGTCACACCTGTCTGCTTTTGCTACATATCTTAACTTTGTTTCACTCTAAAGTCAGTCTTCTCAGTTCTCCTCACCACACTTCTAATAACCAGCATTTAAAGTCTTCGAAAGACAAAGACTGTGAGAAAGCATGGGATTTTAGGAATTGTCATTAAGAACTTCACATGGCAGTAGGAAATCCACATCCTTCTCATCATTGCAAATATTTCCAAAGTTTTATAGAAGTGAGCTGAGCTTCATAAATCCATACATCCATAGGCTTTAGGTGAACTTCAAGGCGGCTCTTTTAGTATTTTAGTATAGAGATTTTAGTATAAATACAGCAAACAGTCTCATTATTAACAGATAGTTGGTTGTCTTGGTTGTCTCACTTTGTGAAGGGATTGAGTGAGTACTGTTATTAAGTTATTATTATAGTACATATAACATGGGTTTACACTATACAGCTAGGGAGTTGCAGGAAAAAATTACTAAAAAAAAGAAACCCAGAAAAATAAGTCCTAATATCTAGTACAGATACATAATCTTCATAGAATCAGTCTAATATAAATGAACCAATATATAATACATAGGTTGCTCCAAAAGTAATGCCCCCTACTTGTTTCCTTGGAAAATACAACAGATGCAGTGAGCACAGTAGCACTACTAGATAGAGCAATTCTAAGCTACAAAACACTCCTTTTCAACATAGCCACCACCAGTGACTATGCATTTTTTTTTTTTTTGCCAGCAATAAGCAAAAGCCTGCATGCCACATTCATAACAAATCTGCGCCAGTAGAGGTGACCCACTATCACTCTCCCCAAAATACGCTACCCACCACCTCACTGTGTTCACATCCATTGTTCAGTCTCCATAACAACTCAGCAGGCATCTGTGAATGTTAATGGCTGCCATTTTCTGCATGGAGGAACTAATTCCACACCTTTGCTTCATACGCTCTTACATGTCAGACACCATTCTGTCAGACTGCCCCTCTGCTGTAATCTGTCACACGGCAATAAGATGTAATGGAATATAGGAAGATTCAGCCTCTACTAGCATACCAGTAACATCTGCATCTGATGTTGTGAGCCAACAAAATAGGAGGCATTACTTCTGGAGCAAGCCTTGTAATATAAATTAAGCAATAAATAGTAAGAGAGACGGAGTATGCTGGCAATTAAATGGAAAGCGTAGCCAGGAAACAGAACAGAAACTGTATCCAGAATTCAGCAAAACTGACCTACGTATTGGAGGCAATAAAATAGAAGTTAATCTGATCATGCAACAGTCCTTATGACCTCTATATGTTGATAGGATCATTCCCCTTAAGAGGAATTAAAACTTACAAAGGAGTAAATACACCAAATTGTGCTGGGATGAAAATGCTCAGATACTATTCAGTATGCTGAAATATCCATACTGTGAAGTCTGCCTGTGAGACCTGACTGTGTCTGTCTCTGAAGGCAATTCTGTTTCTGTTCCCTCACTGCTTCGGTTGTCCTCTCTCTTCTCCGGTATTTAATAGACCACCAGGAGGCACTTAGGTTTTCCATCTGTTCCAAGTATTTCACTGGCATTATGTCCAGCTTCCATTCATAACTCTGTCAAAAACCTTGAGATTAATATAATTTAAGATTTTGAAAGCAAAGCAATAAATCCAGAATTTCTGATATAGAGTATGAACATAAAATCATACAAAATATATTGAAATAAGATTAAAAAGCTCAATAAATTTATATGCCTTGAATTATGTGGAAGCCAAACAACATTACACAACAATAGCAAATAGACCAAACGGGAAAATAGATTTAAAGAAAATACTGGTTTAACTGTTTTCAATAATTATGATGTATTACTGTTAACAATAATCACTTCCCATGTTTAGCTATTATAATTGTGTCTTCATTTGGACACATCTAATCAAATTGCCTCAGCATAATTTAATAAGCTCAATGCTTTATATAGCAGTGCTAAACCTAACAGCTGTATAGTCCTGTGCACGTGAAGAGAAATGCATCATCACAGAAACCACAATGTGAAAACACCTCGAAGTACACAAAGCTATAAACTACTTTAAGTGGATTTCAAAGTTGTCAACATATGGCACATCACAAAGCTATTTGTCCAAGAGGCACTAAAAATAAATATGTAAAGTGTAGATACAACTTTTCCATTTGCAAGAATTCACAGCACAGCATTCCATGTATTATATTCCACACATTAATGCTCAGATGCAGTTTCAAACTATTTGAATTAAAATAAATTATAAATGATTTGCAAATTAAAAAAAAAAAAAACTGAAAACAAACAAAAAACCTCAATTCATTAATCTTTTCCCCATCTGCCAAAAAATTCAATATTAGTAATAACATATCCTGGTGGGAGGGAAAGACAGTTCACGTTACAGTACCAGTAGGTACTATCTTTTTTAAACTCAAGGCAACTTCTGAATGTATTGAAAAATCTCATGTGAAAAAGCAGAAAGCCTCTAATTAGAAAAAGATTTTATATGCCTGAATATATTTTAAAACATCATTGAAACATAAGGATCAATATTTCCATTAATATCAATGGTTAAATTACCCGTGTATCTTTTTTATAATATTGAAATATTAAATGGGTTCAAATACATTCACAGTACCTTCTGAATGTCTACTTCTCCTAAAAGTTACTTTAAATTTCCTTATATTAGAGTCTCATGTCCTTTCCAATCGTCATTTCCATCAGGACAGTAACAAAGCCTGCTGCCTACACGAGCCATAGTACTTCAGGTTTTTAGAAGTGAAGGCTTTTTTATTATTATTATTTCAGCACACCTGATTTGCTGTATTTCCTTCCTTTCTTCTTTTCCCATTTTCTACCTCTTTTCCTTTTTTTTTTTTTTTAAAAAAAAACAACAAACACAACAGCTTCCTTAGTCGTGTGCAGTAACAACACTAGAGTTTTAGACAGACATGAACGTTTCAGTATTGTGTCATAACGTAATTGTGCAGGGTTTTTTTTGTGTGTGTGAATTCTGCAGAAAAATGAAACCTACGTGTATGGTTTTACGATCATACAGCTTGATGAACTGATATTTGCAAAATACATCTGACTCATAGTGCCTGCAGATTTGGGAAAACTTCTGGAGCCTCACAGTTCACAAGAGAAGAAGCTTACACAGATCTTTTGAGTTGAATAGATGGTGAGACCAAGTTCAACCACTTCCTGTCTTCAAATTAGACGCCACTTGTCCCTCCTTTCTCTGCCTTTGCAGTAACTGGCCACAAAGTCTAACACCCAGGTGAAACAGCTTCAAGTTGTTCCAGACAGAAGCAGAGAGACTTTTAACAGTTGAGAAAATATTAAAGGAAAGCATGAAACAATATTCTTAAGGCTGATGAAAGGTTGTAAGGGTAAACACGTGGGTTAGGGTTAAAACAAAAGAAAAGAGACTTCCACCAGTGCCAGGGAATTACCTCTTCTTCAAAATGAAAACTCTGCCTGCCCCATTTTAGCATCTATCGTACTTCTGTATTTCATCCAAAGATATTATAGTGCCATACTTATGCCAAGTGCTGCTAATTGTTTTCAGCCCTCCTAATTGCTTGACTTTGCAATGGAGAGTGGAAAAAAATAAGAGGGCAACTATAAATAGTCACCCCATTATTCAGCATGGTACATTTGTTCATTTTATTATTTGCACAGAAACAAGGGAAGCCAAGCAAGATTAAAGAAAGAGGAAGAATGGTGAGGTAAAGTGTTTCCTGGACCTTGCCAGACTTCTTTTTTCTCAGAACTTCCTTGTCTTTTTTTCACATAGAATACATACAGAAACATACTGGCAAGACTCAGTTCAGGTTTACTTCCCTTTTTGGTTTACCATAAGAATAAAGATGACAGTAATTAAGATATTCCAATCAGGTGGTTTCACAAGAAATTCAATAAATATCTATGGCCAGTGTACAAAATAAGTAGCCTTTGGATTTTACACTGAGGTTAAAAAGCCTTATGCTTAGAGACAGTGATATGCTTTTAAGTTTTAGTCACAGTCTTTTCATAACTTTGGAAGTATTCTTGTCCTAGCTTAAGTGTTAACTGGTTCACAGAAGAGGCCTTTATTTTGGTGCAGCAAAAGGAAATTACTATTCAGAAAATCAGGAGAAGAATAAAGACTAAGATCCAATCCCGCTGTTCAGAAACTCAGCACCTGCTCTCATTCAAACCCAGGTTTAAATATCCCCAAAAGCCTACTAACCATGACCTGAACACTGTCTCAAAAGAAGCTGATATGGAAAACAAAAAAAGTGTTGGCTAAGGACTATCTATTTTTAATGTTATTTTAGTTTTGAGAATCTAAACATTACAGTTGGTTTACAGCTGGAAAGATTATCATGGTGAAAACAGGAAAAGAAACAAACAGGGAAGGAATGCTCACCTGTATCCAAAGATCCAGGTTCACAGGAAGGACTCCACAGAGGATAGATCTCCAGAAAAAGAATGCTCCCAGGTTGCAGTCAGCCCTTTAATGGGGTCTAGGAGGGGTGGAGCCAGACTCCTGCCACACAGGTGAATTGCCTTCACCTGTGCTCCCATGGCTGACTCAGTCCTTGTCTCAAGTGATCAATCAGTGGTTCAGGCCGTGACCCAACAGTTCCCATACACTAAAACAATAACTTTTTTGCCTTTCTGGAGTCCCTTCACTTAGGAAATCTGATTGTATGCTAATTTACCTTTGGAAAAAATAACTAAGTAAGAAATTAAATAAACCCACATACATTTAGACCTATACTTTTCTAAACAAGGATTGATTTCAGGAGATTCCCAGGCATTTCTCAAGAGGACGTGTTATCTTGATTAGTTGGTCATTTAGCTCATCTGTCATGCCAGAGAATGTACAAAACAGACATCATTTCCTTAACCACCACCCAAATCTTCTGTCCTTTGATAAGAAACAATGCAAAGAGGAAGTTGAGTTCTCTTCCTCCTCGTATATGTCCAGCAAGATTGGATGCAGTTAATTTCGCAGTGCTTGCAGCAAAAAGAGCTGCTGTCTTTTCCATTAGCATCTAGAAAGCCAGGCTGTGAAGCAGAATAGCTTGCATGTTACCTAAAGAAACTATTTGCTCATAGGAGTTAGAAAAAAGAAGCGTTTATAGATTAGAGAATCCAACCCTACTCTAGGGTATAGTATAGATAATAGAGAGGTTTTAGTAGATAAAAACAAAGGTGCCTGAGATAGTCTGAATTATATTTAATACAGAAAGAATATCTCCAGTAATAGAATTTAAGATGCAAAAAGGAAAATGAGTAATGTTAGTATTTGGTAACTGTGCTTTGATTCCAATTTTAGCGATTTTCCAATTATTTGCCCAACACAGGTGTGCATATAAATTGCCATGGGGCTCCTAAGGTGTGTCAATATTGTCAAAGATGGCATTCTGGCCTTTGTCTGGTTCTTCTGTATGTTTCCTGGTTGGAACAGCAAGAAATACAGCAGGCTGCCTAGCACCATGCTGTGACCAGCACCTCTGCAGAGAAAGCTGCTTCCAGCACAGAGGTATGCAGTCCATTCAGGTGCTTTCCCGTGAAATCCTTCAGATGGGAGGCTTAAAGTAATAAGCCCTTAAAAGGATCAGATTGTGCTCTGGTGGGGGAGCTGCTTTTATGTTCTCTTCTTTCTCTGAGAAAAGGATCAGCAAAACATCTGCTGTAGGATATGAGGCAGTTAGAACACGAGGTTTCTGATAGGCCTTGGGAATGGGAGAAAAGAGGACTCCCAGAAAAATGTGTAATTGGTATTAGCATGCTGCTTGAAAGTATTTCTGTGAACTACCAAAGATACTTCTGCCATCATCATTATTACGTACAAAAATATAACAAAATTTAGTTTACTCTAAACTAAGAAACTCAAACTTCTAGGACATACAGTAGCCTGAGAAACCATAAGTCTTCTTCCTTATGTAGTTACTGACAGCTAGGAGTAACAATAGAGTGAAATCAGACAGCATGTGATCATATAATCAAAGGCAGTACTGCAGTATATGGGATAACAGTACTGGTATCTCTTTCTGCACTAAGCAGCTTATCTTCTAGGTTGGATTTAGTGTAGCATTTTACATTAAGCAATTCCATCTTTACACACTGCAGTCCTTTAACTCACAAAACTCGTTACAGCCCTCACACTGTCAGCTGCGGACACCTCAGCCATGGAGCAGCTTTGCAACTGCAATGTAGTTTTACGCATTTTTCCCTCCAACAAAACATGCTAAGAAGCCTAATAGAGTAGGCAAGCAAATGAATCCCCAAGGAATATACTTAACTAATAACTGGAAAGAAAATGCTGAAAGAATGGTATTTTAGATATACAGTCAAAATGTAACTGTAATACATTACAAAAGCAATGCTTCAGCTCTGCAGCAAGTCCTGGGTCTTGCTGTTACCTATTTGCACTAATGTTTGATTGCTCACCCTTAGAAGTTCCAGGAAATGTAGATGAGAAAGAATACATCAAGCCTTTATTGAAAGTTTTGTGACAGTACTCACTGACATCTGGGATTATTTCCAGTAACAACTGCCCTGAGGAAACAGCACAATCAGCAGCTATGAAGTCCAAAAATTAGAAATTAGTTTGGCATAGAAATTAGTAATCCTGAGGAAAGAAGCCAACCGAAGAGCATTTTATACATCTGGCATCTGGTGAATAGCTGTTCTGTATGGCATGGAATGATACTGTGGGCAAAGATTTCAAACACTCTGGAAACAAGTGGCTTAAATTCAAGCCTTCTGAGGACTGTGTTGATAACAATATGGAAAAAACTAAATTATGAGGCTCCTGGGAAAATTGTGAACCACAAAAGAGGCATCACTAGAAAAAAAAAGAACTGAATAGAACTAAGAACTATTTTCCAAAACTCTAGTGTGGAAATAAACTAAGAATGTGTCCATTTGAGGGAAGACAAGAACTGAGATTGTTAATACAGTGTTAGTTAGTGACAAGTAGAAAAAAAAGATATTTTTAATTCTCTAGAAATATGAAAACCTGTCAGTTCAAAACACTGTTATTTTCAGTGCAAGTGAAAAACATGGAATTGAGATCTACAATATTAAAGGGACTCTGAATACTGCTTTAATGTAGGGCTTTGTCTTGTGTGAGACAGCAGAAGGCTGTGAATAAACTCATGTTCTTTAAATCCTAATGAGATTAAGGCAGCAACATGATACAATTTGATTAATCTTTTCAATAAGAACTTGAATTCATTTGGTTTTCACTGCTGTAAAAGAATCACTCTTTTCTAAGTGTGTTTTTTTTATTTTGATGGAGTATCCAATATAACATGATGTGGATCAGTTTAAAGACAATTGTGTTTGATTATTTTCCTCTTTGTTTATTATATTCTACTGTTACTTTAAATAAAAGTATTTTTGCAATGCTGATGAGGACAGATTCAAAAGCTCTAATTAACAAACTCTAGACACTGGTGACTCTGAATGTATACAAATACAAAAGAAGCCTTGAGCCGGATCTGAGCATGATGAGCAAATTATTCTAAGAACCATTACTTAAGTATCATCAGCAATGCCAAACAGCAAAGAACAAATTGTAAATTGAAAACATGACCTTATGTTTTCCTTAATTGCAGACACTAAAAATTTAGAGAGCCTGACCTGCTATTAATTTTGAGCTTCTAAATCTCTGCTGGAGAACCTTTGACCTGGGGCACTGGACAGTCTGCAATTTCCTTTTGTAAATCCTGTTGCCACAGATTTTTTGGTTTCTTTTTTCCCTTCTGAAAGGATAGAGCACAGCCCTGCTGGTAAAGACTTGAGGTTACTGGTGAATGGCAGCTGGACATGAGCCAGCAATGTGCCCATATAGCCAAGAAAGCCAACCGTATTCTGGGCTGCATCAAGAGAAACATGGCCAGCAGGGCAAGGGAGGTGAACCTGTTCCTCTAGTCTGCACTGATGAGATCTCACCTGGAGTACTGTGTCCAGATGTGGAGTCTTCAGTACAGGAGACACACAGACCTGTTGGAGCATGTCCAGAAGAGGGCCACAAAAATGATCCAAGAGACGGAACATCTCTCCTATGAGAACAGACTGAGAGAGCTGGGACTGTTCAGTCTAGAAAAGAGAAAGCTCCAGGGAGACCTAAAGGGGACCTACAAGAAAGGAGGAGACAGACACTTTAGCAAGGTCTGAAGTGATAGGATAAGGGGAAGTAGTTTCAAACTTAAATGGGGAGATTTATACTGGATAAAATATTTTACAATGAGGGTGGTGAGGCACTGGAACAGATTGCCCAGAGATGTGGTGGAAGTCCCCCATCCCTGGAGATATTCACTGTCAGGCTGGACCAGGCTCTGAGCAACCTGATCTAGCTGTAGGTGTCTCTGCAGAAGAGTTAGACTAAATGACCTTTAAAGGTCCCTTCCAATTCTAAGGATTCTATGGTTCTATGAAATGAGTCTGCAGGGCAATTGTAGCCTATGGCTCTCTACCCTCCTGCCTTCCAGTTATTTCTTCAGCTCTGCCTCTGATTTAGCTGCCTTTTAAGCAAACTATCAATCAGTCATCATTTGTTGGGTGAACTTCTCAGTGAAACTTCTACCACCTTCAGCAGCAGACACAGAACACCAGAACCTGACCACTGTCTTGCATTTTGCTACTGAACAGGTTTTAAAGACCTGTTCCTTCTGCTGAGAAAAAGGTGATATTTCTCTTCCTTACCTAGCTGCTACTTTATCACTGTCAAAGCTAGCCTGCACCAACAGCCACTGTGGTCGCTGGTGAAGTTCAGAGGCTGTTTGTGCCTAACAAAGAGAAACTCCTCCAGCTGTTGCTTGTGTTTCTCTCCGCCAGAACCCACTGCAGCACAGAGGCCCGGTTCCTCCCCCCGAGCACCCCGGCAAGCTCCCTCTGCTGGGGACTGTGTGCTTCGTCAGGGAGAAATGCAGAGCTCGTTCTGTAAGGAGCCCTCCTCCAGCTCCGAGGGATTCCTTGCTCATCTCTTGTCAGAGCTAGAGATCGGGAATAGATGCCAGACTTAGCGAGAACGAACAGCATTTGTTTCTATAATTTCCTTCTTTAAAGCTGTGGCTAAAAAAAAAAAAAAAAAAAAAAAAAAAGCAAACAAAACAAAAACAAACGAATGTACTTGGCTTGCTTCTTTTTACTTTGTTTAAAACATATATTTCAGTGGATGCATAGTGAGCTGAAGAATTAGTTTTTTTCAGCCATCACTACCACTGAATTCTGATACACTTCAGCAAAACATATTTTGGTGTTGGCATTTAATGTGGCATCCTCTGCAGATTTTTCACAGATCTGTTTTTAAAAAAATTAAAAAAAAAAAGATAAAAGTAAAAATAGAAACCTCAGCTGTGGTTTGATAACCAGCTTCCTCATAAACCTAAGGAGGATGCTGAAGTCTGCTGACACTGATAAAGGCAGAGCTCGCTCTGAGCACTGTCTTCTCATGGCAGGGCACAGCCCTGCCCAAAAGAATGCCATTACCCATCTCCATAAACTTTCCAGAACTGTCAGCTTAGGGTTTTTTTATGCTTTTTTTGGATTCCTTCTTGGTATTTAGTTGTGCTCAATGATAGGAAAAAAAAAAAGCAGGGATACTGTCCAACTGCCTACAGTGCCAGGTTTATAACCTTGTCCTTTTTTACCCCTTTCCACTAATGGGAAAACAAATGAATTAGTTTATCGGCTACTAGCTCCCACATATCAACTTTCCCAGCTGTCTCCTGCTCCCAGATTTAGCAGGATGATTTTCCTGAATAAGAGTCCAGTAGCTGCTATTCTATATCCAGGTTAGAAGATGTTATTTGACTGCGAGGTAATACGTCCCATTCTCCAGCTGAGTACCGACAATTATCTCTGTCTTTCAGGGACCTTTTCTTTGGGAACAGAAAGATTACTTCTTAACACCCCTTACTGCACCCCTTCCTTTCACACAATGCACACAATGTGCATTTGCCTGGATGTGTTTTAGACCAAAGCAACCTAGTAATGTTTTAAGGCTTACTCTCTTGATCCA